AGGTAACTAGGTGAGAGTGCAGATGTGTTCTGGGATGTTAAACATAATTGCGTCAAGCGTGCAAATTCATGACATATACAGGGTTCATACACTTAAGGATTTTCGATGACTTCTCAATGACCGTTACCTAATTTTCCATGACCAAAAAAATTACTCTTTCTCAGCGGTACCACTGGAAATGGGTTATTTTAACATGGAACAGGAAAATAATGTCTGCATATGAAACATGTTGAGCCTATCTAAAACAAATCCAATAGTAGGATTACTAGCTTCTACACGCTAAAGCAACTAAAATCTCTCACCAGCAAAACACCTCGACAGTTAAATGCTAATTTACGTTTAATTACTATACCATACAGTATTAATCATTATAGTATTACTATTTCGGCGATTAGATAAAATATTAATTATATTTGACTTTTCCAAAACTTTGGAAAAAATATTGATTTCCATGACTTTTCCAGGGCCTGGAATTAGCATTTTGAATTTCCATGACTTTTCCAGGGCCTGGAATTAGCATTTTGAATTCCCATGAATTTTCCAGGGCCTGGAATTAGCATTTTGAATTTCCATGACTTTTCCAGGGCCTGGAATTAGCATTTTGAATTTCCATGACTTTTCCAGGTAATTACATTTGAATTTCCATGACTTTTCCAGGAGCTTTTGTTGCTTTTTGCTTCAACAAAGTGGTGTTTTTCTTTCGTAAAGTATCTTGCTTAAAGATAGATCAAACTGGGTCTCATCAGGTTCGGAACGTACAGCCTTATCTGGAGTGTTGAGGTAAAGATCTACGATGTAGCGGATGCGTTTTTGCAGCATGGCCTCCTGGTCGTCTGGATACATGAGGCGCATAAATGTGGGGTTTTCCAAAGTGTCCAGCAGCAGCTGAGCGATTCCCGCCTGGTTCTCCTTCGCTGCCGAGTGCATCACGTTGTACCGGCAGCCCTCCTTTACACACAGAGCAACACATTCATGGATCAGGATTTCATCATTTTATTTTAATCTCCTGGAAACAGGAAGGATGCTTCATCGTGTCCAAAAGCAGCATCTGACCTTAACTTGCTGATGTCAGGGATTTATCACCAAACATTTATTCTTCTTTTTTAATGACAATACAGATCCTTAAAATGAACTGGCATCACATTTAAAGAACCAATTTCTATGACATCATTCAAGTTATTTGTATACACACAGTCACCAGGTTTGTTCTTCGACTCGATATTTAGCAAATCTAATCTTTGCTTAAAATGTATTTAATTTTTTTACTTCAGGAGAGCATTAGCTTACAAGTTGCACTGATGTAGAAAAGTGTTTTATGTCTCAACAAATGACCGGTAAAGCTAATGAATCTCTATTAAAAGCACACAGAGTTTAGAAATACATCGACAAGCCTAAACTAATTCTGCTTCCTTATTAAGTCCAGGTTTTATTTGGTTGAAAAAGAGAGGAATGATGTGTCTACCTGCACTATGGTGGGATTATCCCCTGAGCCGATGAGATAGCGCGGGTTGTCCCAGACCAGCTCGCTGAAGGCCGCCTCGTCTCCCTTCTCCACGGCTTTCCTCAGTTTGGCCGTCAGGTCCTGCGTGCGCGGGCTCTTGAAGCTGTTGGCCCGCTCCCGGTTGATGCTGTCAACCTCCATGTGGTCTGGGTGGAGAGGGAGAAGACGTTTAACTCAAGACATTGTTCAAGGTTTGTATTTCTGTTTGCTTCAGACACAATGGACAAAGGCTCTTAGCACTAAATCTGCATTTTCTAAAAGAAAGCTATAATTAAGTTAAAGAGGGCACTTCCATTTAAAGGAGCAATAATGATAAAAACCGAAAGCAACACATGCAATATTATAGAGTTAAATGATTCCTTCTATAATACAGAGCACCATGTTGACAGGAAACAGTTCTCTTCAGTGTTAACCCTTCTTCTCTCTGCTGGCCTTCTACCGATAAAAAACCTAAATGGACCAATACACAACAAACAGTATTGTTATAGACTTTCTTTTCACACAGAGAGGGGTTTACCTTTACTGAGGAGCAGACCTGGTTTGGCCGGAGACACACAGGGTGTGGATTTGTTGGGCGAGGCGAAATAGTCACAGAACCCCTTGGCAAACTTCTCAGCATCCTCACGGTTGGCGAAGCGGTTGAAGCGGGCGCCCTTCATCATCTTAACAGCTTGAAGGGCATCCTTCTTATCCGTGTATACATGTGCTCTCTCTGCAGGGAAACAAATAAGCATTTTAAATGTTTCAATATGACCTTAATAACCTATTAAGCCCCAAAGCCCCCGCTGGCAGGGGCTACAGGCTTTTACAGGCTTCTTAACATTTAATAAAAGAAGTTCATACTCACTTAACGGGAAGAAACTCAGCTATCTGACGATAGAACATTTTTACCGAAACAAAAACACGTCTCACAAGAAGCGTCTAAATTAGTCCTGAGCGAAAAAATGCTAACGCACTTAGCACAGAACTCTAGGTATAAATACTTATTACTTATTGGATCTGCACAAACAAGATATCAGCTACAAACTGAGATTCCACAGATTCTAGAGGTATTAGTATCATCACTGAGCGATCAGAACTCGCGACAGGGGAAGCAAACCCAGACATCACAACACGTAGCATTACGGAGCAAACACGGGAGTAATGCCTTACCTTTTGCTGTTTCTGATCAAAAGTTGTGTTCAATGGCATTAAAACGATAAAAACGCGGCTGAAGGATAATCCAATGTGTCTGTGTCACTTTGAAATGATTCCTGATAATCCATCATTCCATTTTATATAAAAAAACAGTTCCTGTTTTGGCACCACTCACTCCTTGCATTTTGAATTTCCATGAATTTTCCAGGTCCTGGAATTAACATTTTGAATTTCCATGACTTTTCCAGNTTTTTTGTACTAAACCTCTCTAAAAAGGTCAGATTTCACTTGTTTTGCATTAATCTTGATACAGGGTACTTATTATATGTTGTACTTTGGACTCCTAAAGCTTTTAGTCTACTATCACATCATTCAATGGTGGTTTTCACTATAAGTAATGTTTTTTTTTGGACAGACACTATAATTTAAGTTTTTTTACTATGTTCAATCTGAATTTACTTTAAAAAAAAAAAAAATCAATATTGATTCTGACTCTTCTACATCCAACTCACAGGTTTATCATTGCTTTGAGAAAAAAAAAAATGTATTGACCCCTTTTGTTCTGGGAATGTCATTTCCGAGCCTGAGACCTGAAAAATAGGCTCGCGGCTGAACAGGTTAAACAATCAGGCAGATTGTTGCACAT